CGCTCTTCCCGGCTTTATTTTGTCCAAACTGATCGTCTTGCAAGATTTAACCTAAATCCAGGTTAAATCCTGCTCTAAATCCGTTGTCAGACAGCCCCTTGATTAATAATTTTACATTCAAAACATCCCAAAATTTTATTTATATATTTTTTTTCTGAAACAATCTTAACATCTTCTGCGGGATGCAGTTCACGAAAATATAAGAAAAAAAACCTCGAAAACCACCATCATCCGGGAAACCAAAGAATCCATCTACTCAAGTCGCACAATAAACCCTAGAATCATCGTCAGTCAAAGCAGACAAATACGTCAATCAATTCGTACAGACAAAACCAAATTCGTAAAGTTGATTCAAAAATATTCTCGAAGCTTAGAGAGCATACCATCAGCCTGCCAGTAAAGTGTCCGTAGAGATTCCCCTGCCGGACCCTGAGGTAAGGCCAAGGTAGGAGCACCAGCATGACCATGGTCCAAAACATCGTCGTCGCCAACATCGTCACCACACAAGCCACAATCCTGAACACCGAAATCAAAACAGTAATCCAACGATCGTCGTCCACAAATTCGACCTCGCCGTCCGCGGAAACCGACGGCCGAGATCGAAGCTCCTGCTGCTTGTCACCGCTGGCGGCGTATTTCTTCCGTTCAGGCTCCGGCGACCGTAAGATGGCTTCAAAATAGCTATCAAGCCATCGACCACGCAGAAGAGAGCTCATGCTAGCGATCTCCATTTTTTCGGCCGCTGTTGAGCAAAAAATTTCAGCAGAGCAAGTCAAGAGAAGTCATTATAAATAAAGGGACGGGGAGGAGAAGATGAAGATGAAGCTCGGAAATGGCTGAACATTTTATTTTGCATAAATGTCCTAAAATTATTATGGTTTAAACTCTAATTTACGTTGTTTCGGAGGGCTGCAGCGAAAAATGGAGTAGTGATGCATGCGACGACACTGGATCCGCTAAGGTGGGGGCCGAAGTGAAAGTGTTGTCGCTGTGCCCTGCGCTCTGATGGGGAAAGCTATCGACATTGCTTGTTTAAATTTTAATCCCGAAAGATAGCAATACTTTGGACATATACTTGTGTGTGTGCGTGCACGCGTGTGGCCTTAGCGCCCGTCAGAGGCGGAACCGGTGGGATAAATTGTCTCCTAAGGCCCAACGTGGGAGGGGTTAAGACAACTAAAGTCAAAATAAAATTTCATGAATGGTGATACGCCATCAACAAATTTCATCATCCATCATGAATCTCGAGGTGTGAAATTAATCTCGAGGCAATCTTTTGAGCAAGAAAAATTCAAACTACAATTAAAAGTCATCCAGAGCTCCGATTTCAGTAAACTTGCGGTCAAACTGACATTCTCGATGAGATGGACCCAATAATATAAAAATTAGTCCAATCCGAGTCAGATCAAGCCCGGATCAAATCATTAATCCACTCTTGGAGGATTTCTGGAGGCATTTGAAAGGTCAAACAGATGTTGAATCCAGTGAATTCATAGTCAAATCGAGCGTCTTGACAAGATGAATCCAACGAGCTCAAGATTGCTCAATTATGACATCGTTAAGGCACTCAAATGTACATCAAACGTCATTCGATTGAGGGAAGCTTTTATATATATATATATATATATATATGCACTTATTAGTTTTACTTGAGAACTAACCTTGTCTAAGAGATACAATGAGAACTACTCATCACTCAAAACATGCCAATTATATATATTATTTTATCTAAAAGTGAAATGTAGCAAATTGTATTCCATAAGATTAGTTTTAGCTCACACATATAAATAGGGCATAACATATAATTTTTTTCTAGTCATATTGTATTTTATTGTCCAAATTCTGACTCACCAGTCTTACAATATCATATCAGTAACTCAATTTGAGTCGCATGGTTTCCTGATACATTAAATTTTGATTAACAAATAAAATAACTATGACGTGCATTTGCTCTT